AGAATGATAGTAAAACCTATATATTATAATTTCTGACACAGGAATGCTGCCATTCCTTCCACTTACTCACTACAAATAACTGAACTGCATCATTTAAATTGGCTGATAATGGCTGGAGAGGAAGGTACTGACTGGTTGAGTCGTCTTTGATATAAAGATACAATTTAGAGATTATTTGAAAGCAACCAGGATTGCACAATTTGCAGCACATCCATAAAACCAGAGTAAAATCAAGCTAACTCCTCTGTCCATTACCTGTATCAGCATACAAGAGCTAAACTGACAAATTTGTCAAATTTGATCAAATTCTAGTTTTTAAAAATGTACCAGTACTTCAAACGTAATTTTTTTCCATGAGCCTTAAGGTTTCAAAGGCTAATTCTACATAAATTTTTTACAGCAATGTTTTTCCAAATTATGGTTTCAAATTTCATTTTAGCATAAGTAATCTTAAAGGTGAAATGCAGAAGATGAAAATTCTGTATTGAAATTCTCTACAGATAGCATTCAAAAACTATCAAAAATTCAGGCAAAATAAATTTTTGAGGATTTCAATGATTTCAAGATGATATTTGAGTTTTGAAATTTCACAAGCATTACAAAAACATATTCTGCAGAGAAGTACTGCATTAGGAGTGAAATTGTCAAGTAGAAAAATAAGTGAGGAATATATTGCACTGACCTATCAACATATCAAACCAAGATGAATGTAAATTAACACACACCTTCAAATCCTCTTCATTAATTTCATCAGTAAAATCCAAGACACTGTCCCGAGACTCACGCCTGGTGTAGATATCAATCTCAGAAGACAGGTTTGTCTGAGGCACCATAGACATCTTCCGAAATGTTGTACTTCCCTTTTTGGAAAAATTTGGTCCATAGTTCGCAGAAGTGCTCGTCATCAGCTGTAACACCGACTGCCTCCGCTGACCTTGCAGTATATGGTCAGCGTTTAGCATGTTACTCCGAAGGAAACCTACATCTCCCTGTTCCAACTCAGGTACCAGCGAGAGTCGCCTTTCTGCTGGGTCATTGTGGCCATCTTCTATCCCATTGACCTGCACCCCATTCTTCTGCACTGCTGAGAACTTCCTATTTGCATTAAGGGGGTTAATAATTATGGAGTTCTTCCTTTTGTCATTAAAATCTGGTTTTTGTATAAAAGATTGCTTCCTTATTTCAGTTCGTGATCCCATGCCTTCTCCTTCAATGGAAAATCGTCGGAGAGTCTCAGTTAGGATTGAATTTCTTCTTTCTGCACTGAACTGATCAAAAGAATCAAATCCCATCAGCTCTGAACTGAAGTCTGGCCGTTTACCCTGAAGTTCAGAAAATGTTCCATAAAAATAGCAGCTCCCTTCATGTAAAATTAATATTTTGTCAGCAATCTTTAAATGTTCCAGTTTTGAAGTAACCAAGATCCTAGTTTTATTCGCCATCAACTTGCACACACAGCTATAAAAGATGAAAGTGTTAACATTTAGATTTTTTTCTTCATGATTAAATATTGCTTTTATCCCTTTCACTTTATTTATTTGCTTTCACCTGCCTCCCTCCCAGTATGAGCAGTCTTGGGTGCTCCCTTGAACTACAAAGGAGGTGGTAAGGCTGAGATGTGTAAAGGGTAAATACTTTATCACAGGAACAAAAAAAAGGGGTAACATTTAATCATTTTCAGGTCAATCCAAAAAGCACAGTTCAACATGAACATGAAGTATTTCTTTTTGTCTTAGGGTTACTTAGAGCTTTTGTTACCGAACTTAGAAGCTCATTGAGCTTGAGAATTGAGATAATTCTCAATTTCAAAACTTCAAACTTAAGGTGACTGAAAAGCTCATGGATGGCAGTGTGTCCTTACTGCTTTGAGCTACACCAACAGGACAAGCCAAAAGTCTCTGTCTTGGACCAAGCTTCTGCCAATGTCCTGGTCAGCAGGTACCTTCACATGACCCAACTTTCAGTGATTAGAAAAACTGGACAAAATACAGCTTTTTGTAAAAATGTATAGTTACAACACAGGTATGTGTTTTAAAATGAGAGCTCTTCTGCTACACAGACACATCAGATATAAAACCATGCACACTGGGAGCAAGATATTATAGCAGGCTCAATACACCTAGACGGAAAGGGAAGCAGTAACGCTCACACTTGCCCCAGGCTTCTTCCCAGCACAGTGTGCTGTCTTACTGCTAACACAAAATGCTCAGCCCCGAAAATCTCTAAAAATAAAGATCCCAAAAGGTATAATTTTGATCACTTCAGTATTTTTGTACTGCTATTAAATTTTTCTTCTTGGTTTTACTTTGTGCTGCTTGGTGGGATTCTTAAATACAACCTATGAAAACGTACAATACCTTTCAAATATCTCTTTTTCTGTAAAAATGTCTAAGTGTCCAAAAGGAGAATCCAGGAGATACAAATCAGCATCTCTGTACACTGCTCTGAACAGAGAAAATGGAAATGACATTAACTTTCACAACTCTTATAAATTTACATAAATACAATTTTAAAAGATGTCTTTGCAGTTTGTAAACCTTGTAATTGATAGACTTTTCTACGGCATCAATATGGAGATGGAGTTCAACATTAAATGTGTTTATAAGACACCTTTCAATAAAGCCTTTCCTTGCTTTCCACATTACAAACTAGCTCAGTTTTCCATTAATTTCTGTGAAATTAACCAAAGCTATAGAGTTGCCTCTTTACACAGGTTATTCTAAAGATCTGTTTAAGGCCTGAATCTGACAGTTCCCATCAATGTACAATGACAATTTAAATGGGAATTTAGTACCTACTGGTGCCCGAGGGAATATTACATGTGAAAAGACTTAGGTCTCAACACTTAGTTTTAAAAGTACTTCAAAACAACTGGTGAGCAAAGACAAGTGTTTTAGTGAGGCATGACCTAGCAAATATCTGAAATGGGACTGTTCAATATTTTGAGTTGAAGACAACAAAAACTATTTGTAGCATTAGGACCTTAAGCTGTATGTACCTGGGCATGGCTCACTGAGACCTAAACCTCTTGTTAAAAGGGTTTTTTAAATGTCAATTTCAATAGAAGTTCAAAAAGACCCCTTACCCTCCTCTGTGAGAATGGAAATCATTATGTGATATCAATCAGAGTATAATTAGTAAAGAAATCTGGACAGCTGCATTTCAGTATTTTTGAAAGTATTTTAATCAATGTGAAAATATGTAACTACCAGGAGAAAAAACCCTACATAATAGCATATTATGTTAATAAACCAAGCAACTTCATTTAAAAATTCTCTGTCACGATGGATTTCACTGATCATAAATTATGATGTCGTGACTGCACAACAACAAAAAGTTCATACTGTTCTGGGCACTTTTATCAGCAAGAAGTTTGCAGGTTTTTTTCCTGGAATAATGGCAACACTCAAATTATTGCCATAATTTGTGTGTTGGACTTTGTAGCTATAAATGACTGGCTTTAAGGTACCTGGCCAGCGAGCCAGCTCAAATCCAGAGCATGCACTGTTTTTTTCCCCTTGGACCTTTCTTTCTCCCAGTGGTAGCTGCAGACACTGACAGTGCCTGTAAGAGAGACTCATGCAGTTTCCATCTGGTTCTCATGATGACTGGTTGGTGTCACTTCTGGCAGGGATTCTCTTTCACATGACCTCGCTCAGAGCACACCAGATACATGTATGCAGCCAGCAGAAGCAAATAAAGCCCAGCTTATCACCAGTGCAGATGGATACAACCCAGATCTGTAATCCTAAACTTTCTCCTCTAGCTTTGCAGAGCTTCATCTGCAACCCACACCTCAACACCTGCACAGCTTGCAGCATGCTGATCTTGGACTGGAGTCCAAACGAAATGTAAGACAGCCACTGTCTTTATGACACTTAATTGTTTTTAAAAAAACCAATTATACAGCTGACAATAAATACCTAAGTTTTGTGACCCTCCAGGAAATAAGCTCTGACCATCCGAAAAGTGACAGACATGATTATTCATAGCATCTAGGAAACAGTTCATGCAAATGCTGCATTCTAAATGAAACTCTAAGAGGGGGTTGTTGGTTTGGGTTTTTTGCTCTGAAAGCTTTGCCTGCTCCTTCCCTCCTCTCTTCTCTTACCACATAAAACATCCATACACCTCTTCCCTCTCATAAATCTGTTAGAAAGATCCACACTGAGAGATTATCTATTTTATTTAACCCATCTTTTAGCCTCACACAGACATGCACATCTTTCATGAGATGCCAGTGTGGATCACCATAATGTGATTTTACTTACTTCTAATCAGTGTTTCTGAGCATGGGAACCAACACGATTTGCACTTGGCACAGAGATAAATGGGGCCATTTACACATAAGAGCTGCCATTACAGGATTTCTGATGATAGCTAAGTGATTCTGCTGAAACACATAGCTAATTTATAAGACAAACACCTATGTTATTGTTCTGTAGAGCTTCAGAATTACTAACATTGGAAGGTCAAACAGACAAGGCCATTATTAATAGGTACTGACTAACCACTGCTTTCCACTTTTTCTTTTTTACGCCAGAAAAAGACCAAAAGTATTAGCAACATATTTCTTGAAACACGGGAGATTTTTTTCATCTTTTTTTTTAACCTGCAGACAAGGAGCATGTCATTAATCAATATACAAACTACTTTGAATAGTGTCATAGCAGGAAAAGATTATGGAATTTTTATTATTTGTATCTTTCTATTTGTTTCTTCAGTACTTAGAAAGCTACACTTAAAGGTCTGAATTTCCAAAGGCATCTTGCATCAGGGAGGGAAAGATCCATCTTAAGCTAAACCTTAGCATGTGTCTGACACCAAACTTTTAAAAGTCAGTAAATCGATATGCAGATGTATCACAACAAAACTGCACAGGAAAATTCAGATTTCTGATAGCAAAATTAAGGTCCTGATATACTTGGAGAATATTTATTTAGCAGGACTTAGTCCACATGCATATAAATGCTTATAAATTCATTATATATTCCATATACGTGAAGCAGTACACTATGTGGAGAGCAAAATACTCACCTTGCTAGTGAGATCCGTGCTCGCTGGCCTCCGCTCAGACTGATTCCACCTTCACCCAGCAGGGTATAATCTTTGTCTGGGAACTTGGAAATGTCCTGTTAACAAATTTTTTTTAAGAATCAGACATGTATTTTCCATATCCTAGAAACTCAAGCCTGCAGACTGGATGGAAGAATAGTGTACACAACGGTGTGCAGACAGGTTTGACAGTGATTGTAAAATAAAAAAAAAGTCCCATGGAGGTTTATTTATTTCCTTTGTTTATGTAATCAGAAATGGTGATAAGAGAAAACATATCGTTCTATTGCAGAGAGCAATTAAGAGCTGCAAGATCTCAAGAACAAATATTTGCCTGAATAGTTAACCTCCATAAAAGCAAGGAATGTACCTTCATACAATGTCAATTTAAGACATTAATTGTTTGAGTTTTCTGACAGATAACAATGATCAATGAACTTGCTATTGAAGTTAGGGAGAGAAAGAAGCAAATTCTGGATCTGAGCTCTTCAAAACCCAGAGAAATTTATACTTCAGGCAAGTTCATTAAAAAAGGCACTAAATTCCTAGCCAGGAA